CCGGACATCATACTCTCGAGGACATTTCTACTCACTTGACGAATCCATTTTTGCGGTAGTGGCGGGAAATTCAAAATGAACCGGCTAGCAGGACTTGGGTGCAGTTTCTTGTTTTGGCACCACTTTAACACGTTATCACGTATTACGTTTTATAAATTCATTCAAATGAATACTTCTATTTTACATCGATCGGTTTTGAGTTTTTTTAGAGTTCTAAAAAATAAATATTACATAAAATTTGAAAAAAGCACAATTTTCTGATTGATTTTTCTCAAAAAAGCGTAAGTGAACGTGAAATGTTATCAGCTATTAAAAATGATCATCATATACACTATCATTTCTCAAAATATCTCAGAGATATATTTGAATCACACAATATATTTTATTTAAACAATAATATTATTCTTTTATGTACATTAAGGCGGGTCAAATTTATATAGCAGATCACAATCCCCTGATCGTCACTATTTTTTTTCGATCGAGGTCACCAACAACATTGCCAAATTCGAAGGAATTTGGTTACGATCTAGAACTGTGGGAGAACTTTAATCGGGATCGGAACAAAACTATTCATTTGCTTGCAAATAATTACAAAATTTTATAGATTTGACCAAACCTGGGACTTAGAATGAGAAAACAATGCAAAACAACTTAGTCGAAGATTGCAAATCGATTCAGCTTCTGTAAAAAAAAGTTACCATTGTTTTACTTTAGGCCTACCCAAGTAACCATAGGCACGTTATTTCGCCTTTTTGGCTATATACGGGCCTCATCAGAACGTGCAAACACTGGTATAGCAGTTGTTCAGCTGTATATAGCCAAAAAGGCGAAATAACGTGGCTATGGTTACTTGGGTAGTGCAACACTCATACCTACAAGCTTAAATATTAGCCTGTAGGTATGTGTAGAGCTTTTGGCCTTTAGTTAAAATTTAGTAGATTTTTGCACAAACGTCAAATCAACTTGAGAGGTTCGACAAAGTTGTTCTGTTTAGTCCCAAGTTTGATAAAATTCCATAATTTTTTGAATTTTTGGCACGCAATGAATGGTTTTGTTCCATTCTCCATACATTTTCCCATACATATTTTAAAGTTCTCCCGCAGTTTTAGAATTTGCTACAATTGTTAGTGACCTCGATACATATCGAAAAAATAGTGGGGATCAGAGGGTTGTGATCCGCCATGTAAGCTTGACCCACGCTTGATTCAAGTCCAAATACCTCTAATACATTGCAATTAAGACCGGGATATATTTGAGGAATGATAGTCTAATTGATGTTCATTTTGAATAACTTATAACATTTTGCAATCACTTGCTTTTTTTGAGAAAAAAAAATATTAAGAAAATCATAAATTTTTATTTTAAAACTTCATGTACTGTTTATTTTATAGTACTTTAAAAATAAAAGTATTGTTCTTGAAATAGTTGACTGGACCAAACCGATCGACTAATCATGATGATAAAATTCATTTGAATGAATTTATATAACTTTGAAAATGTTGTTTGAAAATGTACAGCTTATGTCTTGAGCAACTTTTCATAAAATTTTGCCAACGACAGCCATTTTCTAACATGCAAAATAAAAAAAAGTTGGTATCGCTGCGCCACTTGAACTATTTTTATTCACCAAATGATATTCCTAACTAAGTCCATAAACTTTGCTAAACACGTCAACTCTATTGGATGCAATCACAGAAAAAAAAATCCTGCTAGATTTCATTTCTGACTCACTATCCAGTGTTATAAGATTATGACACCTTTCTTTGGGTGGTTTTTGCGTCCAATTCCGTTCAGTAGTTGTCGTGAAATTCGAGTTAGTTTCCTATATCCGTGTTTTTAGTATCTTGTTCCGTCTCTATATCCAGAACCAGATGACTGATTCATTCATTTGACGGTTGTTGCATCCGGTTTGGTTCAGTGGTTGTCGCGAAACACGACTTAGGTCCGAAATCCGTGTATTTCGGATCATGTGTCTGTCATATTTCCGGAATCAGTTGACCGATTCCAAAAGTATTCAATAACGTTCTATGGGACGATGGAACCTTTTTTTAGTGGTTGTTGCGTCCGATTCGGTTCAGTGGATGCTGAGAAACTTGACTTAGTTTCCTATATTCGTGTTTTAGGATCTTGTTCCGTCTCTATCTCCGGAACCATTTGACCGATTCCAAAAATATTCAAAATCCCTCTATGAGGCATGAAAACTTTCATTTGACGGTTGTTGCATCCGGTTTGGTTCAGTGGTTGTCGCGAAACACGATATAGTTTCCTAAATCTGTGTTTTACGGAATTTGTTCCGTCAATTTCTCCGGAACCAGTATACCGATTCCAAAAATATTCAAAACCATTCTATATGACTATGAAACCTCCATGCAGCATCCAATTCGGTTCAGTGGTTCCCGCGAAACACGGCTTAGTTCCCTAAATCCATGTATTTCGGATCTTGTTCTGTCGGAGCTGTGGCTAAAAATCTCCTTAATAAAGATTAGAAAAAAGGATCTTGTTTCCATCTCCGGAATCAGTTGAGGGATTCCAAAAATATTCAAAAGCGTTCTATGGAACCATTCCCGAGCAGGAACGAATATCTCGATACCTTAAATTGGTATGGATAAGCCTGACATAAGAGATAAAAAACCAAAAAAAATGTTAACCCAATACCATTCCAATACCAAATTATGATGATGCAATACCAAAACAATACCACACAGTTATTATTTTGGTATCCAAACATCAATTTTTGTTATTTACAAAGTATTTTGCATACATTTTTTTGGTATTATCCTTTGGTATTTTACCTCTTATGTCATGCTAGTCAATACTAAATTTTGGTATCAGACTAGAATTAGGTACCCGAGCAGGAGAAAAGAACTTATGAATACCTAATTCTGACTTGATACCAAAATTTGGTATTGACCAGCATGACATAAGAGGTAAAATACCAAAGAATAATACCAAAAAACTACATTCAAAATACTTTGTAAATAAAAAAAGTTGATATTTGGATACCAAAAGAATACCTGTGTGGTATTGTTTTGGTATTGCATTATCATAATTTTGTATTGGAATGGTATTGTAGGAACATTTTTTTTGTATTATTTTTTGGTATTTTACCTCTTATGTCAGGCTCATCCATACCAATTTAAGGTATCGAGATATTTGTTCCTGCTCGGGTAATCATTAGATATTTTGTCCTGCTCGGGTTGTTACCCTAGCAGGAGAAAATAACTAATCAATACCTAATTCTGATCTGATACCAAAATTTAGTGTTGATCGGCAAGACATAAGAGGTAAAATACCAAAGAATATTAACCAAAAAATTTCATGCAAAATACTTTCTTAAAAACAAAAAATTGAAATGTGGATACCAAAATGATACCTGTGTGGTATTTTTTTTGGTATTACGTTATCATAATTTGGTATTGGAATGGTATTGTGGGAACATTTTTTTTTTTTTGTATTTTACGCTCATCCATACCAATTTAAGGTATCGAGATATTCTTTCCTGCTCGGGTATTGCAACCAATTTGGTTCAGTGGGTGTCACGAAACACGCATTAGAAAATGTTACGATTATATACACAAAGTTCCCTAAACCTCACTATTAAAAAAACACAGACATTTTCTGATCTCGTTGAGCTTAGTCGATTGGTATATGACACACGGCCCTCCAGGTCTAGGATCGAAAGTCGGTTTTCCAAGCGATATGTAAGAAGGTTACAACATACTAAAATTAAAATTGTCTGTGGGGCATCCACCAGAGCAGCCAGATTTACGGAAATGTCCTTAGATTTACGGAATTGTTCAATCTCAAAGGATTTCATGAAATTGATTGTTTGGCAAATGTCGTTGTAAGTTTGTAGCAACCTTCCAACAACAAGAGAGCAAATCCATAATATTTCGATTGCCACGGACCTTCGGGAACTATTTTCAGAATCCATCAGGAGAAATACAGTTAGTAATTCCGAAATTATGGGGGAGTGCAGAGGATTTTGATAGTTTTAAATTTCAAAGGTTTTTTTCTATTCAAAAAAAAAAATCGCCGTCGGAGAACTCTCAAAAAGTTTTCCAAGTCCAAATGCCTGGTCCGAATAAATAACGAAGTGTTTAAAATCTTAAGAACTGTGAAAGGAAGCTCATTTAGGCATAATGTCCCCTGCCCTTTGGTTCGATGAGGGTTACGACGCGTTCTGCCAGGATTGTCGAGGTTTATTTCATGTGTGAGTAAGTGATGACACTGGACATTACGATATCGCCACTGCGCAAAGTTAACACTGGTCATTGTTATATGTAATTCACTTTAAAAGATGCGATTCTTACTTCACCACATGTAATTCCTAAAAACCTGACTGACATGTGGCGCTTGCAAAGATCACTTGAAGATACGATATGACGAAACATTGCTACTAATTGTATAAAACACATTTTTTTACAATGTAGCTTTTTTGGCATTTTAAAAGTTATTTTTATTATGAGATTATTATGAGGGTTTCCAGGCCATGTTGGCCCTTTAATGATGTTTGGGAAGTTTATAACCACTTTAACGTTTTTTTTAAACGACTCCTGGAAATCAGTTTTCGTTCGGATTAGTTGGGGAGCGACTGAAATTCGAATCGATTTTTTGAATATTGTTTTTTTTTTTCAATCTAACGAAGGATCAAAACTAACGTTATTTTTTATATCCGACGTGTCAACCTTTTTACTTGACCTTCTTCAGGAGATCTAAAATTGGAACGCCTTTTATTTTCTCTATATTATTGGTATTTTTAGTCGCAGTTTAGTTCATCACGTAATTATACCGTCTTTCATTCAACCTGTGCGATTGACTATCATAGTTGTTGGATTCTCTCCCAAGGTACTGCATCGTAAAGTACGATTGAGTTTTAGTTGGAGATTCTTTTTTCTTTTGTTTTTTACCACCTACTTAAGACCCTAAACGAATGAAATCGGGATAGGACATATTGCATCACAATGAAAACAAAAAAATATTTATACCATTTCAATTACCTTTGAAACAAGCACAACCCATGATGTATCCCATCATTGGAGCAGGTAATAATTGATGCACTAACGGTACAGAAACCAGCTCCCGAACCGGAACGAACGGTAGGCTTCAGCAGGGACCCTACCACAACCGAGCCGTATTTGCTATCAGTTCGTCTCCGTTCGCCTTCGGGCAGTGCCCCTTCCAGCGACAGTCGATGATGATCTCCTCGGCGGTACCAACGAACTCGACGTTTTCTCCTTCGATCTCTGGCGTCTACGCCCGAACGGCTACGGTATTGACAGTTCAACGATAAAAACAGTCCTGTCGGCGCCCCGCTCGTCGAAGGTAGAAGCCGTGGATGAAGACGATTAATGACTTTCATCTCACAACCCCACCCGAGGGAGCCGACCCCAGACTGGATTATGTAAACGGAATTCTCCCCAGTGGTATTGGTGACCTTGTCCTTGTGCTTATGCGACCACCAAGAATGATTGATTAGATTTACGGATTGACTGTTATCAGTATGGACGATTCACGTTCTTTCTTTGCAGTTTTTCTTCTTTGCTAAATTACGGTGATTTCATTACATGGAGCGACTTTATCGTGGGGTTTTCTTATCGATCACTGAACAATCACAGACAACGCTTGCGGGTGTTATTGATTTCCGTAGATTTTTTTTTTTCGTGCAGGGGTTAAATTGAAGTAATGTACTACTTATAGAACTACCTACTTAAAATCGAATATACTAGGCAAAAACACACTCACTTATTTTGAATTCACTAACTTTGACTTTGATTGATTATTTCAGTAACGCAGTTCTCACTCAATTTCTCGGAAAAAAATCCTTCGATTCCAACTCATCGAATGTTATCATTTTATCACCAACGGTTGTAAAAGCAGTAACTGTAATTGCACTTCAATTAATCTCCTACCGGTCACCATCTCCATCACCTGTCACTGGCACTGATGGCGTCGTCGTCGTCGTCGTCGCCACGGTTGTCGTTGGTTAAAATGTTAATTTGCATCCCTCGTCCTGCACCTGCGTTCACTATCGTCACCAGCACCGGCAGAAGTAGATGATGGTCGGAAACTGTGATACATTTTCATGTTGCACTCTCTGTGCGGTAAATAGTCCTTTGTTTGCATATATTTCGCATTTTTTGCACTACTTGCTGCTACCACTTATTTTCTGCATCTCTGCACCAGACTGTCTAACGTCGTCTCGGCTACCTACTGGAATCAAGAGGTGCACACTCCACCAGTAAGGACTCGGTTATGTCTTCCCACTCCACTGAAGCCCGGGACGACGACGGGGTGGAATAGACAACACAATTGCACAGATCCAGTGATCTGCACCACCGAGGAACGGCTGGAGAGGGAGGGGGGCACAAATGGAGGTGGAGCACAAAAGAATTTTCCATGCACATATTTTCCAAGTTGCATTTTCTTCGTTCAGATTTTTGCACCGGACGGAAACAACGTTATCTATCGCGGCAAATACGTATTTTACCCGCACGCACACACACGTACACACAATGCTCTGTGCTGAATGTCTAACTGGATACTGGGGCATATTTTACGGTAAACACCTTGGATACGTGAGTCGTGCTGGGAGAGGGTTCGAGCCGTCGGGATTTAAATATTCTTCATTCTTTTCACTTGTGTTGCTTGCTGTAATGCCTAGTACACTGCTTACCATGCACTTACTGGAGAGTATGACGATCGTAGGATGATGATTGAAATTCTTGCAAGAATAGTTACGATTTATAGCTATGTAGCTTGGTAGTACTTCGATCTCAAGATATGGAAGAAATGGTTTTCATGAAGTCAATACAGAACTGATCTAGTTCTGCTTTTGGTAACACAGGTGCAATGGGTCTTATGCTGGCCTATGGATCTTCGGCCCATCGATAAAAATCACCTGTTATTCAATTTTTCGTAGAACAATGCGTCATCTGGACAATACAAATGGATATTTTCGGTTGCGACACAGTTCGAAAAAGTAGTGTAAATTTCTGTTTAATATATATATGTATGGTCCCAATATTAGGGACACCTAGGCTCATCAGAACCATCTTATATGGATCGTATATTTAAAACTAACGAAATAGAACCACAAAATTTCTAACTCTGAAATATGATCTCGTAGTGTGCCGAATTAAGCGTGTCCGTTGTTAATAGTTTCACGAAGCTCATCAGGTCAAACTGAAGCGCCTGATCTGCAAAAAGTGAAAGGTATCCTCGGTGACGCATATTCGGGATCGAGAACATAACATATTATACTATGACATGTTAGATGACTTCTTCCGGAACCATCATTTCGATTGAATAGCTTTATGCCGGGCTTGATCCACCGTCAACCGCAGTGGTTTGTCATGCTGTAAGGGGCTCAGTGACCTAGTGATAGCCATTTTTGTTCACTGACCAGAAGAGCGATATCCACTTTACATTACAGAGCAAAATAGAAAGCCAAAATCACCTGTAATCGTTTCTGCATAGCTGCACACATTGAGTAATCCTTGGAATGCGATGCAATGTTCCTCGAAATTTAATGAAGGTATGTGCACTCAAATTGTAAAGCCTTGTGTCTATGAAAAGCCCTAAATTGTGCGATGAATTTTTAGAACATTCCGCTCAACTAGATTGAGGAAACTGGCTCAAACCAGAAGGATTAAGAGTTACTCTCCATACTCTCCAGAACAACGTTCCATGATTGATGCTCTATTTTCTCTATTCGGTATAAAGTGGTGAATTTTCCTTAAATTCCAACGAGCGACAATTTTTGAAAACTTAAATGGAGGTGCTCCGGATACACACATAACCAGTGTTTTGTGTTTTAGAATAAAAGCTCTAGACATATTACATTCCTCAAAAATTCTTGCCATACTTTTTGAAAACACATGCAGAAAACCCAGGAATCGTTGTAAAATTCTACGGAGAACCAAAGGTCTTATAAATTTCTTCGAAAACCCTGAAGATTATATTGAAATTTTCTTAAGATTCATCAACCTAGCCACCCTAGTAAATTTGTGTAGAGTCTGAAACTAGAACTTTTCTTCAATTTTTGTCATTAAAAACAATCTTCGTGATGTAAGATTTGAAAAAAAATAAAAAAAATGCGAGATTCTTAAAAAAAAAAAACAATATCACAGATTTAAAAAAAAGTCATACTTAGAAGTCGTGGAGTCATAATTGTCAAAGCTCTGAAACTTGGAAGCATTTTAAGGGATATAACAAATTACAGAACAACCGATAAAATCTTGGAATTTTTTTTATAATTTAAAAGTATTCGAAGTGTTGATTTCAACCAAATATTGAGGAGGATTACCACACAATTTTCGAATGAGAAGTTTTGAGTAGAATTCCAGAATTATTCTGACATGAAGTCCGCAGAACTTGTTAGATTAGTTTGGAGAGATTTCTGGAGAAGAATGCAAGTTATAAGTTAAATTCTTAAAACTTTAAGGAAAATTCCTACGTGATTCTGAGGAGATTTGTATGATGATCGTGACAAAAATGACAGATGCATTTTAAGAAGAATTCCAACATAATTATGATCAGAATTCAAAAAGAAACAGAGTTTTAAGAGTGTTCTGGCGATAATTTCAATCCTAATTCGAAAGTTTCATCACAGAGCTCAAACAAAATATATTGCAAAAAATGCTAATAATATAAAAGAAATTCTTTAAAATACTCCAAAGGGATTCTAAAAACGAATTTCGAAAGATTTATGATGAGAAAATTTTTAAAAGAATTTCAAATGAATCAAAGTATCCTAATAGGTTCAAGGGAATTCAAAGAAGGATTCCAATCAAATTCTTAGAAGGCGTTTCAAGGAAATTTCAAAAATAATTCAACGGTATTTATCACGCGTTTTTGCCTAATTTCAGAAGAATTTCATGATAATACATAGCAGAATTCCAAGTTAAATCTGGAATTCATGTCATGAAAATTTTGAATAACAAAAAATTAAAACCCCGGAAAAGAATAGTTCAGTTTCGGTTTTTACAAATATTTGTTTCCAAAGTCCAGCATCTTCAATATTTTCTTTTAAGGCCCATGCACTTTACATTTGAAATTGAAACGACAAAAATCAATGTGAAATATTGCTGAGTGATTAAATTCTAAAAATAATAAGACGGGAAACTGAAGAAAATTGTGCATCAAATAGAGCAAGACGTTCATTTCGTAAAGAATCACTCTATTTTAATGGTTTATTCAGAAATTCTGGTGTAAAATGTGGTTAATTTATTTTTTCCGGTTCTCTCATCGAATTCCCGGGTTTTTCACGGTTTTCCCGGTTACTTTTCAAATTCCCGGATATTTCCCGGTATTCCCGGTTTTCCCGGTTAGCTGGCCACCCTGGCCTAAACTTGTCAAGATGTTGATCTAAATCAAGAATCTCGTTATCAATGTTGGGAAAAATCAAAAAATCAAATCTCACCAAGAACAAGATCAAGCTTGATTTTCGTAGACAAAAATCAACTGCAGATGATATTCCAAGCTGTGATATCGCAGCACGGAATATCAAGCTAACAAAACTCACCAGCTGCAAATCTCACCAAACTGTGGTGAGATTGAGTTTCATGATTTTTGCTTTACAACCGAACACAACCGACACTTCCATAACGGCTGGCAGCAGTCGCTTCGTGTCTATCATCGATGAAGAGAAAAAAAAAGAAAGCATTATTATACCTTCTCTTTCTAAGAAAACGAGTCGCAGCGGAATCATTTTTGCGTCGATTCAACTCTCAGCTTCAACTTTAAACGTTGTGAATAGTCTCGCAATATTTAAGGACCTTGTAAAATCAATATCAAGTATGATATTTTGCTCCAATGATGTTTAGAGCGGATGCGAGCGGAAAAAACATCAATTTGTTAATGATTATGCCATCACTGCTCATCATATAATTTCATTTTTAATTCAATGAAAAGTTTAAAATGCAGCCTTATTACATATTTTTCAATTCAAGCTCTAATTGTCTATTTCTGGAAGAACCTACAAACTACAAAGCAACTAATGACATCGCTTTACTCTGCAGCTGTCCCTAAACCTATACTCGGCAATGATTTCTCCTCTTCGGAAAGTTAGCGTCGATTGCAGTTGCTGTGGTTTCTCGCCTGACTTTCGCCATCCCCACAAGTGCTGTTGAGGCAGAACACAAAGTATGCAACGTGTGGTGGTTTGCAGTAAATTTCGCTTCCCAGTCAGCAAATGTGGTTCTATGGCCACATGCCACATGGTTGCTTAGTATCCAAGTCGTCCCTGAGAAGAGCAGAATGCAAGCCGAAAATGGTGACTACAGATTGCCATCACCCATTAGTTGGCTTGGCAATTGGCAAAAAGCTTCGGCTCCAGTAGCAGGACTGCATGTCGTTGTTAGTGGTTTGTTGGTAAACTGGGAAAACAACGAAATCTCGTTTAAAGTTTGTTTCGTTCCGCAGCAACTGCTTCTTTAGGAGTGGTGGAGGAAAGAGCAGTTGCTTGTCCGGGATGGAAACTAAATATGTTCCTCCTGCAGCTCTTTCGCCTTAATGATGAGGGAGATGTTGGAAGCGAACGAGAAATGTAAATACAGCTCTGGGACGACCTACATTAAAATTTCATGATGGTTCGTTCCCTGTGAGAGGACACCTTTTCTCCACGGTGTGGTGGGTTGTATTATAGTTAGGAGAACATGTGTAATACCAGACAGACGTAGTTGGTGGAAGAATGGTTAACACGGTGCAGAACGCATGGGGTTGTGAATGTATGTAGGTATGTGTTTGGGCACATAACACACGCTCACAAGAATGTTATGACGTCTGGTGGTGGCAGTAAATTTTTGATTAGCGAACAACGGTTTGCCTTGGCCTTCTTATGTTTTATTTCGCATCTTTATGGTATGTTATTACAACGCGTCATGGTTTGATTCAAATTAATTTGGTTGGTTTGGTTGGATGTCACAAACATGTTATGGCTTTCTGTTTGATATTACATTGTTACGATCAGTGGTGGAAAAGTTTGCGATATTTCACGAAGTTCACCAAGGGAAAAGTTCGTGAGTCATAGTGAACTTTCGCAAACTTTTCCATCACTGGTAATACCATCATGTGTAGAATTCAACGACCACACTCAAAAATGATAATTAGATATTCAGTAACGCCGGTACAATTTCTACACGTGTTGAAAACTGAACGCATTCTAACAATATTGACAAGGTCAGTGGATAATGCAAATATATGTAAAGTCT